CCCATGGGTCTGGATTGCCTGGATTCTGCATGTCTAACAAGCTCCCGGGTGACACCAGTTGAGGGGGCCACAGAGTACTTCGGGTAGTGAGAGTCTAAACTCAGATCTGGCGACCTTGATATTCTCCCCTTGTGATTTTCACTCCCTATCCACTTTGATAAACAAATTTGAAACTCTCTTTTAATGTGATTTTCAAAATATAAAGTATTGTGACTAAAAACAAATCCAAGCCATAACACAAAGCATTGCTTTGTTTTTATCCAAGTCTCCACCCCACCCCTGGCAGAGTCGACTGGGGAGGAAATGAAGTTAGAGAGTTTGGGAGGGTATATTATATAGGACCAGGCCATTTCACCCAAAATTAATTTACTGAAAGACAGTTCACTAAAATTTAATTTGTGAAACAAATGGAAACAAAAACAACTACCCTCATATAAAGGCTTTGCAAACTGTAGAGTTCTTAACACAGCACCTGCAAAGGCCTTTAAACTCCTAAGGCCTCTTGGTTTGTTTCCTAATTTTCCAGACTGAGTGGTAACAGCACTGGTGATATTGGTTGCTGCCACCTTTTAGCACCTGCAAAGGCCTTTAAGCTCCTAAGGCCTCTTGGTCTGTTTCCTAATTTTCCAGACTGAGTGGTAACAGCACTGGTGATATTGGTTGCTGCCACCTTTCTGAGGCTCTCAGAGCTGTTACCAGCTTGGAAGAGCTAGAGCGAGTTGCCTGTTTTTCTCCCAGACCCAAGACATCCTTGGCAGGGAAAGACAACACCAGCAAGGGGCCACTTGAGCATACTCTTTGCTTCTTAGTCTCACCTTCTTCACCCACTTCCATACTGTATAACCAACCCCAGCCTAGAACCTTGGGAGACCCAAAGACAGGAGGTAAGAGTGTCAGTTGCAGCAAGAGGGATTTAGGTCAGACAACAGGGAGGACATCCTAAACAGAGCCAAGAGTTGGGAGTCCTCATCTATCATGGAGTGACGTGGCTCTCTCAGTGTGAGCTGAGGCCCTTTTCCCAACTTCAGCTTCCTCTTCTGTTCTGGGAGGGGGTTGTGGACAACATGAGGTGGGTGACAGGCTGATGACACCATTCCTCTCCCCAAGCTTGAGCCACAACCAGATTGGAGACGCCGGTGCCCAGCAATTAGCCGCCATCCTACCAGGGCTGCCTGAGCTCAAGAAGATAGAGTAAGTGGCCAGCCCTACTGAGAGGGGCCCACAGTGGCCACACCATGGTCCTGGGAGACACTGGCCCCTGGCTCAGGGCAGCATTGGAAAATCTCCCCTCCCCCAACCTCAGTGTCCGGGCATTAGGGCTGGGTGACCTCATGGCTCTGACTATGGGACCCTAACCCATTCCAGCCCCTGCTCTGGGCCTTTCTGCCCCATCCAGCTGGGAAAGTGTGTGATGCCCACCCCCAGCAAATGTGGTAGGGTGGGGGTGGGGGGAGTCAAAGGATCTGATGGCTGCCCCCCTCCCACAGCCTCTCAGCAAATGGCATCGGACCGGCTGGGGGAGTACAGTTGGTGGAGTCGCTCTCTCTTTGCAGGTGCCTGGAGGAGCTAATGTGAGTGTCTAGCTAGGTGGGCCTCTGGCCTGTATCCCCTCAGGCCCACCCAGTCCTCCTCTCCTCCAGAGGGTACAGGGTAGGGCAAGGGTCCTGAGCAGCCAGCATGGTGCTCAATGCTCATCCCTTTCCTCTTTCAGGCTTGGCTACAATGCCCTGGGGGATCCTACAGCCCTGAGACTGGCTCAGAAGCTGCCCCAACACCTGAGGGTCTTGCAGTGAGTGTCCCCCCTGCCCACAGTGCATGCAGGGCTGACAGTGAGAGGGTCCCCTGGGAGCAATGGGGGTCAAGGCCCCTACTGGTTGAGCTGCCCTGCCTGAGGTCAAACTGTGGCATGTCCTGGAGCTGACTGCTCTCTCTCCTGTCTGTTCCTCCCCCACCACTGATGTTAGGAGCAGGGAAATCAGGAGACCCAGCCTAGT